GGAAGCCGAAGCATTGAAATAATAACAAAATTCTGCTTCTTGTCTCAGTTCTGTTCAATTGCAGAGTCTTGAATTGAAAATTAGCGCGTAAACATTAAATTTAGAGCAACAAAAACTTTTTTGATGGCGAGAAAATCTCATAAACCCAAGAAAGTAGTAACAATAACTCAGCATACACGCTTCAAAGTGTGATTTATTGACGTATATTGTAGCAAAAAGAGTATTCGGCATATCAGCTGTTACATAAGGTGTGCTGAGAACTGTCTCCACTTATGGAGGTTTTCTAGGAGTGAACCTCGTCACGTGGTGTCGCGCTGTAAAGAAGGCGCCTGATTGATAGTCACCGGGGGACCATTGTGCCTGTGTTTCGTAAGCAAATATTGGGAACATCAGCTAGGAGGATTGATGCCTTAGTGTCGTGAGAGAGAACCTTGATATTGAGAAATTTTTAATCTGTAGTATTACACATAGCACATGAATCATTTTAAAGCAATTTTTGCAGTCCATTATGCAGTCACATTATGCGGTAGCATTCACGGAAAAGCAAATATAGACGTGTATTCGCGACGAGTACGAGATGGCTGTTACGGACAAAATGATTTAAAATAATCTGGCATCGCGGGTACTCTGGTGCTCAAACAGAAAAAATTCGTGGCCCACTTGAATGGCCACTTAAGTAACTAAGAGAAAAAGGGAATGTAGAATACGCTGTGATGTCTTACCTTTGAGGAATGATGCTCTTTTTCACATACTGAGGCATGCGAACAATATATAAAGCAATACACAGAGTACTGCATGCTTGTACCTGCAAATCTGTTCGTCCTTGCCGTTTACATATGCGGGTGGGGGTTAGTCTTCGAAAGAAGCAGTTAGTGTTTGCAAGTGGATATTGACTAGCATGGTAAGAACGTATTCAATTTGTATAACTAATTTTCTTAATCATCCACAATAATTTATAAAGGCGATAGTTTTAGAGATTAATGTATAGCTTTTTCAAAAGGGTCGATCCTGCTTTTATTCTGAAATGAATTTTAAGTAGAATGAACGAAACTCCTAAACGGTAATGCACAACATTGATGCCTAATAACGTTTTAGGAAATTCGAATTATTTATTTTATGGTGCATTTTTACCGGACGATATATAACCTATGTAGAAAAATGAGTCATTTTATCAAATACTGTTGATGACGTTACTGTATGGAGCGCGATGATGCGGTGGAGAGGTCACATATTTTCGGCCTTTAGATGTGCCTGGTTAGATTCCCGAGAAATATTATAACCGAAAATTCTCTTGCGCTAGGATCTACGTTATTTCGGTCCCTGCTTTCACACAAACGGATAGCAAGTCTTTTGTTTAGGAAGAACATTGACTGCTTGGTATTCTGGAGTTTTCATACCAGTATAGACGAGATTTATGGCCTGATGTCTAATGCTACTGCATCTAGTGGCTAGACTTCCTTTTGGCATGTTTGATGGCTCATGTTAGCTTTTAGGACCAACGTTTCCTTTCGGGTCGCGGAGACAGTGCAGTAGGGAATTGATGCCATTGTTCTAGATTTCGAGATACGTAATCAGCCTCAGATGACAATTTCGGAAGTCGGTCACAAAGCTCCGTGTATCAGGTTTTTCTAGGCCCTTGTCGAGGGTTTCTTTCAGCCGGTTCAAGCAAGAAGCAGTTGTTCTGGAAGCATTCGGGAGACATGGCCGAACCATCTCAGCTGCGATCTTTCAGTCTTGAGAAGTAATGACCATTTTTATGGACTGTAAAATCGCGGAGTTCGAATCTTGTTCTAACGCGTTACACCGATGAGTCTTATGGGAAATGTCAAACTTTCGCATATACTCGTTATCTCATTTTTTCGTTTACCCATGCTTCATGACTATAAGTGAGGATACTAATAAAATCCGATTTCGAGCTTTGTTCGAACACTCAGCGTTGCCTGTACGGTTCACGAATTAGTCCACTTGCCATATCGATTTGTCGTTCTATCTCTTCGTCCCATTTTTCGTAACTTTTGAAAGTCATCCGGAGGTATTTGAATTTATACACCTGTCGGCATTCCTCACCATCTGTAGCATGTGAAGTACAGGGAACAATCCGGAAAATGATTTAAATACATTGAGTAACAAAGCGAAACTAATCTGTCGAAGTATACCATCTTTGTGGCTGAGACGTCTAAGTAAAATATTTTATACATGCCAGGTATGGAGCTCTCACGCGAGAGCTACATACGGGATGACGCGATATACGAGGCAAGGTGACGATGTTTTCTTCGACAGGTGCATTTACGAACTGTTTTCCGGCGAGGTTCTGATGAAAAAGTACCAGAAATCTTTTCATTATTTGCTTAAGATCTCTTGCGTTTAGACTGTTATAAAATGGTCTCATGATCTTCTGCTTCAGTTAATAAACCGATGTTTTTAAATAGCGTTGCATCTTATGACGATGGACGAGCATAAAATGAATTATCGGACGAAAACTGAACAACAGTTTCCGACAACTAGTTGCTTTAACAGAATATTGCTGGCAGAAGAACATGGGGATTCAATATTCAGTTGAAGGCATTGGTGATGATGAACTTTGCATTTTCATAAAAAGTTCTGTTCATCTCTTAAGTCATTATTAAGTTTTGTGGCTTTAAAGCAATTTAAGTGTTTTGATGAGTCTTAGTATTTTTCTTATCAGTCCATGCGTTTTATTTAGGCTAAAGTTTACCTCTGCATTAGTTTTACACTATTTCTTTGCTGTTGAAGTGAGTTTAGGGTTTAGTGGACGGACGATCACAGACAGTTTTACTCATGGTTCAGTCAATTTTTTGTTCTCGTTTCACAACTTTTTATTTGATATTTATTGTTTAATTACGTTCATTTTGTTTATGATAAAATATATTCTTTTACACTCTTGTTCAGACTAAGCTTTTACCAGCTTCTAGTTTCAGATGAATACTGTCATAATTTGTTGCTTAATATCGCTATTCTCTTTACGATAACAAGTTATTATTCTTATTGGGTTTCGTCTTACATTTTCCGTGGACACATTGTTTATGTTCGTTTAAGCTTGTTAAAGGCTACTAAGACACGTTGTGAGAAGTGGTGCCAGTTTGTTTACTCGAGAGTAAATGAAAAAGCTACGATTGAAATTGAAGATAACTGCTTAAGGGACTTCACACGTGAGAACATTTTTTGCATAAAACACCTAATCTACATATAATCTTTGCACTGAAAAGAAATCAGAGCAAACATTGTCAAAAAATATACCCTCTTAGATCTTAAAATTCTTCGGATTTACGGCTTGACTACAGGCTATTCGAAACAGCGGTCAAAACTCATGCACATCTATACATTAAATAGATAGGAACTCTGTATAGGACTGGAACGCTGATATTGGTCTGTCATCTGATGGGGAAACTGCATTGTGTTGAACTGAATCATGTTTATGCTGTACTATGCTGTACAATACGAGTATCAGTGTAACAACAGAATATTTCAGGAATAGACGAAGGAAACTCTTGTGTTTGCAAAATGCCAAGCAGCACAGGACAGAGATTTGATACCTGTAATGATTTTTCGTTCGAATACAGCTAGTGGCTACTGACTTTACCCACAAATAGTTCGTGGCATTTCCAGTACAGAAAAAGTAGGTTCAACATCAGATCTGCTAAAGATCCGGGCTATGCTGCTGGTGTTCTGTTGCCAAATGATGATGTCCTTTCCAGAGCAAGTTTCTTGAAAGCAAAGCAATGGCATGATTGTCGAATTTATGGAATCTAAATAATTTTATTATTTTTGTAAATGATGTATTGCAGAATCTTGAAATGCGTAAACACGATAATTCTGGAGCAAGGTCGCGAAGATGTTGCATCTCAGTGGGGCAGACCGTTTGCGGAATGGTCACGCAAACCAGTCGTCCCTCCGTTTGGACAACGAGCCTAGAATGGTGCAGGCATCGTGATTTTGTTTGGCTGATTGTGACAGTAGAACGGAAGCTAAATTAGCGTACGAAGACAGACTGCAGATTTCAGGTTCAATTCATAAGCCTGAGAATGCATAGATTAAACGTTTATTAACATTTTGGCGTAAAAGTAAAAGAGTAAAAGTAACGTGAGTAATTGATTACCAGGCAATTACGCGAGTGATGAAAGTTTGTTCTTCCACGTTCATCTTCATTCTGTTCGTCCTCTCAGAGAGAGGATCGCATTGAATTCTCTTTTAACTGTTCTATTGCGTCTGATTGTGTAAAATGTTCATTAACTTTCTCTTTCAACTCCTTAGAACTTATATATACATGGTCTTTTTAAGAATGGAAACCGAAAATCATCTGTGAGTAGGTCGTGGACTAATTATTTGCTGTAATTAGTCTAGACTCTATATCAACCACATGGATTTTAGACACTGAGTGTTGATGACAGAAAAGTATAAAACCTGATATTATGGGTTTACTAGCCTATTGCTAGTTTTTGATACCGCCGCTAATATATATAATCCTTTTTGATTTTCATTATCGGATTGAAGCGGCGTTAGCGCCATCCCCTTGCTTCTAGTGGCTTAGGGGACCATTTAAGCAGACAATGGCTGCTTGGTATTTTTAGCACCCGCTGTGCATGGATACAGAACCGTATCACTTGGCAGGGCCGAACAAGAACCTTCAATCCCGTATCGAAAACCAAAAAGGATTCTGTATCTTAGCAGCTGAATCAAA